AAAAAGAAAGAAAGGAAGAAAGAAAGAAAGAGAGAAAGAAAGGAAAGGAAAGAAAAAAGAAGTAGAGTAATTGGGTCTGGTGGCACATGCTTTTAATTCCAGTATTCCAGTACTGGGGAGACAGAGGCAAGCAGATCTCTGTGATTGCAAAGTAAGCCTGGTATACAGAGTTAATTCCAGGACAGATGAAAGTTACACAGAGAAACCCTGTCTCAAAAAATTAAAAAATAGAAGTAGAAGAAATAGAGTAAGAAAAAAGCCACGTAAAGATGGAAAGCACAGAGGAACTTTGGATACCACATACTATTCTGTTATCTTTAAATTGTCTGATGGATTAATTCAATTTATATATTTTAAAAATCCAGTTCAGACTGGTTCAAACCAGTTTATACCTGCTCAAACCGGTTTAGACAGGTTCAGACTGGTTGGATCCAGTTCAGACAGGTACAGACCTGTCTTATCTGTCTCGATCCGGTTCAGACCGGTTCTCTCCGGTTTAGACCGGATCAAACTATGTCTATCCAATTCAGACCAGTTTATACAGTTTTGATCCAGTTCAGACCGGTTTAGACAGGTTCAGACAGGTTCGATCCGGTTCAGACCAGATCAAACTGGGTCTATCCGGTTCAGACCGGTTTAGACAGGTTTGATCCAGTTAATACCAGGTTGATCCCGTTTAGACAGGTTAAATCTGGTTCAGATTGGCTCGATCTGGTTCAGACCAGTTCGATCGGGTTTAAATCGGTTTAGATCGGTTCTATCCGGTTCAGACTGGTTTAGACTTCATCAAACTGGGTGTATCCAGTCCAGACCTGCTTAAACAGGTTCAATCGAGTTCAGACCGGTTCAATCTGGTTCAGACTGGTTGGATCTGGTTCATATTGGTTCAGACTGTTTTAATCACTATAGATTTGCTTTCTGTTGAATTTAAGTTTTACTACATCATGTTCAGACAGATACACTGACATATTTCAAATTTATGACACAATAATTCATTTTACAAATCAACAAATTAAGTCAGAGAAATAATTGATATACTGAGGCTCACATACAAATCAGTAAAGCACTGAAATACCAAATGTATTTCCCAGATGCCTGCATTTCCTTAAGCACACCACTTTTCTTTACTAATTAAATATGTTTTTCCACATGTCAACATTTACAGGTTAAAATACCAAAATATCTTTAAAATAATAAGCTCCCTTTTCATGCTAATCTATTAACATACAATAGACTTAACTCCTTTTTTAGGGGTAAGGTAGAACAGACATAGATAAAAATCAATGCAATTACAGGTTGAGAATATTTGAGTATTAGTCTAAAGGTCTTTAGTCTAGAAGTCAGTGTCTCATATAGAGCAGCCTGGGAAGAATAGTTTCACCCACAACAAGTGGACACACACCTATTTACAAAGCTCCTTAATGAAGCCTCCATATTAACTCAGTTAGAGGAAAACGTCAGAATGGAGTGACTGTGGACCATAAGCCCCACAGCACATTCTAATCCAGGGATGAAAGGAAGCCAAGATACAGCAGTAAAATCCAGAGCAGTTTCAGATCCACTGAGGCTGTTTTTTTGTTTTTTTTTTTTTTTTTTTTTTTTTTGTTTTTGTTTTTTTGTTTTTTTAAGTGAGAGCAACCTTAGATTCTTGAAACCAGTAGTCATTGAGGGCCAAGGAAAAGATTTTGTATAGATCAGTTTACATCAGAAATGAAATGTGAGATTTTGAATACCATGTGTGTGACAGAATTCAAAGTTCTGTCATTTTCTATCCTTTACAAAGAAGAAAAAGTCTGGGACATCATCAAAAAGAACTCAGCCATCTTCTCCTCCAGAGCCTATTTTTGTATTATTAAACACATTTGAGCATAGGCTGCAAACATGACATGGTAAGTTCTGTTCTCATGCATTGAACCCAGAGGGTTGCTGTTGTAAGAAATAGTTCTGTTGTAAATGGCAAAAACAGAAGAGTAAAACTTCAAAATATTGGAGGGATAAGGTTGAAAGTCATTCATAAATTTAATCCAGGGTGACAACACCTCTCTCCTATAGAGAATCCATTCACTGATATCTTGGCTCTTGGACTCTTTAGCCCCCACAGCTAATTCCTCAAAAAAAAAAAAAAAAAAAAAAAAAAAAAATGGAATTTAGGCCAAAAAAAGTGAAAGAGAACTTAATCTAATTTTCTGAAAATACTGTCAAAGAAACTGAGATCCAGATAATTGCCTGAAGTAACTGAGGAAGAGTAATGCTATATAAACTTGGGATTGTGTCCATTTCAACCGACACTGAGATGCTCATTAACCTTAAATGTGTTTCAGAGCCACGCTAGAATCCAAGGAGCTTATTGAGGGTAGTATTTTTTTTCTTCCTGGAATTGAACCCTAATAAGTACCTAATAAGTGTGCTCGTGTGAGGGTGTTGGAGGAGACAGTGGCATTTGTCAAACTGGAGAGCAAACTATGAATGCTGACTTGTTTCCAGTCATTTTCAAGTTTTGTGATAAAACGTAGAGGAGTGGGATGGAGAGATGGCTCAACAGTTAAGAATGCCATGTGTGCTATGTGCTCTTCTAGAGGACCAGGGGTTCGATTCCCAGCATCCATACTTCAGCTGACAACTCTCTAACCCCATTCTTTGGGGATGTGAGACCCTCTTGTGGCTTTGGAAGGCATAACACCCATCTACCTAATATATACATACATACATGTTTAAATAAAACAGTCAAGGATTAGATAAAGTGGGTCAAAGCAATCTCTTTCATTATGTGTCTGGTTAGACGTTTGTATTCTGGGCAACTGTCCTGGCTCAATTTTCTTATCAGTGAAATGGCACCAATAACTTCAACCCAGGTTTACTTAGGTGGTCTCAGGCACTGGAATTCCTAGAAAAAGAATGTTATCATGCAACAGTAGTGTCAGTAAAATTATTGTAGACAGGCAACAGTGAAACATAAACAAACATGGCTATTAACACCCCTATTTCTATATAATTCTTCAGTTCAAATTTCTGAGCAGACAAGGAAACCAAAGGAATAGAAAAGGGGATTGAAACGATATAAAAATGTCATTTTAGAGCTTGGACTAATGGCGTGTGTTTGTAGTGCTAGTTCTTAGGTGGTGGAGGTAGAAGGAGCAAGACTTCAAGGCCAGTAGGTTGGCCTGGGCTACAGTTCAGTCAAAAATAAAACCAATCAACAGCCACTAAAAAAAGCTACTACAATAATTTGCCTGGGGGCATGCCTAAAGAGACACCCATCCTGCGTGCTTCGCATTGTAAATTCTTATCTTTTGCTCAAAGAGGAAATGCATTGTTTCCAATGATATCAGGTAGAGGACAGAAGAGTTCACTAGATGAAACAGGTCGCACCTAGTGTATTTACTGAATGCAGTACTAAGTATTTTTCCAAACCCAGGACATCTAAAACTTTAATCCAGACCTTGGAAGACTGAGGATGGGCAAGGATTAAGAACACAGCATATGTCAGTGGAAACAAACATTTCTTTCTGAGTACAGCAAAGTGTCACACATCTTCATGAAATTTCTTGGGGAAAAATAAAGTCAAGGAAAAAGAGCTGCAGGAAAAGGTGAAGGTCAGGGGAAGCACCGACCTCACTCCTTATACTGAATGTGTGGGTTTTAATTTCAGCCTTGCTCTCACATCTGAGAAGTCTGCCTGCAGAGCATGGCCGAGATTTAAAGTTTAAAAAGGGGCAGAGGCGTGCCTTAAAAAAAAAAAAGTGGCTGAACTTTAAACTCTGTTTATCAAATGCAGCGGACTCCACCTGGAGCTCAGGGAGAAGGCTAGAGAAGGCATCTTCAGCTTCTCCTCAGATTCTCCCAAGAAAGGGTAGTGGTGAGGTGAGCCCAGCGCTTCCCAGAAGACGCCTTGGGCATGAACAGCAAGGTCAGGTCCTGTCCCTCACTCTAGGTGCTGTCCAGTTTCGACAACACCTCTGTGAAAGCCTGGTGAACATTTCTTCCTACTTGAAGCTCTCTGCATGTTGTCAGTGCTCTTTAGGACCTCAGGGAAACCGGAGCGAGCGTTTCTGGCTTTAGGACCCAGGAACTCTGAGGCAGCCTGGCTTTAGATGCCTTGGACCACAGCACCACCTACTTATAGAAGCATCCCGAGCCTTAGCTTGTCTGCATCTCCATCGGAAAGTGAGCTGGAGCTGGCCACATCCCTTCGGCCTCTGCTCAGTGTCCGGTCTCCCCCAGCGCGGGCAGGGAGAAACCTCAGTTTGTGAAGTGGTGGTGGAAAGAGCCCTGGGAGTAGCGACTGGACCGGGACGCCAAGAGAAGAGCAGACGCGCAACCTCGTCCTGGAATAGCTCTCCCGTGTGGAGACCCAGCATCCCAGTGCTTGACGGTCGCGCTCGCCCGGCTGCGCGCTTCTGCTAGGCGCCTCCAGCCCCGTGGACCCTCGGGGTCCGCGGACCCTGCTGCAGCTGGCCGAATCCCAGTGCTGCCAGGAGCTCCCCGCTGGTGTTGGCAAACTTTTTCCGAGCCCACGTGCTGACCAAACAGCCCGGCTCGCTTCCCGAGCCTGGGATGGAGCGCCGCGCCTAGGCACGCTGTTGCAGCCTGAGACAAGCGCGCACGGTAGGAGATCCACACCTGGTGCAGCAGCGCCAGGATAGCCCATCCCGGGTGCGAAGAGCTCGAGGGTGCCCCTTTAAAGCTCTGCGTTCGGGCGCTCTTAAGAGAGCCCTTTCTTCTGAAGAGCCCGCACAACGCCCTTTCCCCAGGGTCAGAAGCCAAGGCACCACAGAGATTGCTAATTCACTGATTGTAATCACCTTCCTCTCCTAGTTGCCTGCAGCTGTGCCATCTGCGTTAAACTGCTCCGTGGCTCGTGCCAGTGAGTTCGCGTCCTCCCCCCCTCCCTCCCTTCTTTAAACCAAGAGGCGCTAAGGTTCAGGTACCTCCTCTGGGTTCTCTTGGTCCCCCACCTACTCTGTTTCTCTTTCCTGGTCTCCCAGGTTCACCTCAGGGAGAGATGCTTGGCGAGCCAAACTGACCATAGCAGCTCCAGGCCAGTGGCATCTCTCTGGGAGTCCTCCCCAGGAGCGCAACCCGCACTGTCTCCTCGTAGGAGCCCAGCGTTTCCTCGACTTTGAGAGGCGTCTCTCCCCAGCCCGACCGTCCAGATGCGTTTTCGCCTCTTCTCTTTTGCCCTCATCATTCTGAACTGTATGGATTACAGCCAGTGCCAAGGCAACCGATGGAGACGCAATAAGCGAGGTGGGTCGCTCTCGGCCGAAGGTGCGTGGGGTTCCTGAGTGGGTGGGAGTGTCGGGAGTGCTCATTCATCTCTAGGCTGTGGGGACTCGAGGGACAGGACTGTGCTCTGCACCCCAATTCTTGTGTGGGCTACAACTGCACACTCTCAGGGTCTCTGCTCTGCAGAAGGGTTTCTGCTGCCCCTAGTAGGTGTGGTGAGAGGCTGAAAGAAGCGGTGGGAGCTGGGTGAGCTAGACTTCTCTCCCCCAAGCGCAAGCACTCAGGGACTCATCTGTGCAGTCTCTCTTGAACTCTTCTTTCGATCATATTTCTTAAATGGCATCCATCTTTTCTAGTTTTCTCCTTTTGTCTTCTTAATCACCTTCCTCGAAATCCAAGTGTATTTAATTTCCCGACCCACGTGTGCCCTAAATCCTGCCCCAGATAGCTTTAGACATGGTCTGGCGTGGGGTGTGTGCATGGGGGAGGGCGATGTTAGGGAAGAATGTCAAGTTGCACAGTAGAACCTGAGTAGCCAAGGAAAGAGCAACACTGTTCTTTTTTTTTTTTTTTCCTGGAACCTGAGAAGATGGGAACTTAATGAATTAAGTAGCAACTCCTGCTCTGGCTTTCTCTGGGAGTTCTCCCCTGCAGCGTGAATGTTTTTAAAAATAGATCAACATTGCTTGGTTTGTTTGCTTTCTCTAAGAGGCGACTTCGGAGAAGGGTTTTTGTCCTCAGTGTAACTCACTTGCTTTTAAAATGCTTACTTCTCCATCACGCGTGGGAGCGGTGAAGGCAGAGGGAAGCCTCCAGAAAGATTTCAGAGAATTCGACTTTAGTGTGCTCATATTTCTGTACTCCTGTCTTTCAGTCTTTCTGGGGGCGGTGGCTAAGCCAAATGCATTTTGGAGCATGTGCAGCCAGTCACAGTGTAGTTCTCTGGAGGAACTTAAACACAAACCACACAGGCATCGCGATGAAGTACCAGCGCAGGGCCCTCCCCGCACAGCGGCTTTGTGTTAGCACCTGATGAGAGTCAGTTGTCTTTGGCTACCCGTTTGGTCTCTTGTGCAGTTAGAATTTGTCATGAGGGTTTTTTTTTTTTTTTTTTTTTTTTTTGCGGCCTATAAAAGTCTCAATTTCTGGTGAGACTCTGGCCCCGCAGCTCGTTTTGAAGACATTTATATTATTACCATTGTTATTATTATTATTTACATTTTGAGGGGTGTTAAGGTATTCTCATGAACTGAAGAGCTTGGTCTATTCCAGAGCAAATCTTGGGGTCACTGATGATGTGTGACTATTGAAGAACCAGTGGTTTTGATTGTTGATATGTATCTCTAGCTTAAAAAAAAGGACATGCGTGCCCACCCCCATGCCTTTATCTGCCTCATTTATGACACATGGAAAATATTTCTTATTTTTAGAGATTACTGCATATAAAAACACAGGGGAGAAACTCCTCCCCGAAGAATGTGTTGATACCTTTCTTTGAAAAGTACCTCTCCACCTTATCCCTTCCAATGGCCTCCTTTCTCCATGCCATTACTATATTTCCAGGCACTCCTTGGCAGAGTTGGCAAAATTTTATTGTACCGTGTTCCAAAGTGTTTGGAGAAGCTACCCCCACTTTTGAAAACTGGAATTGTAATCAATTTCATTGAAAACACCGAAGTACATAACATTTGCAGCACACAGTACCTAATGCTCTTTGGCACATTCTTGATTATTACATAGCTTACTAATTCAGTGATGGATTTGTGGTTCACACTGCTGCTCCAGTGAGTGAGTGAGTGCTGAAGAATTAAACACATTGTCTGAGAACTTAAATGCTGAGATGCTGCTTGGTGGAGAATGGCATTGCAGCACTCTCGCGGCCAGAAGAGATACTGCATGCATTTATTTCTCCTATAGGGCCATCTCCGAGGCTCTTTCTGCCTGCACTTTGCTCCTTGGGTATCTGAATTAGAACCTATTTTGTTTCAGAGTTTGCTTTAGCAAAATCACTTGTAGCAGTTACCATCTACAGTCCCAAGCTCTAACATTTAAAAACCCAATTTAGAAAGTGTGCAACGATAACTTGTGCCAAATCAACCTTGTCGTTTCACAAAGTTTGAAGTCTTTCAAGTACATGTCGATCGGTATGGCTGTTTTAAAAACGCCTATCAAAATATGTTTCTGGCTTTCTTCTCTCCCTCAACAGATGTCTCTTTCTGAATCCCAAGTTTATGCCTAAAATGACTACAGTTTTTAAAGTGACCATACTATCTGTGCCAACAAAGGGTGCACTGTGTTTTTAATTAAAAGTGGAACTACTTAGAGGGCTGGCTAGACAGTGCAGGGTCATAGTAGCCTTTCTGCCTTGCAAGGAAGCTTAAGGACTGTATTGTGAGAACACTGAAATGAATAGAGATCTAACTCAACTTGTGTGAATTGTCCCTCTTCACAAACTTAAGCTGGTTTTAATTGATCTCATGTCCACTGATTGATCCTACACCAATTGTTGTGCATACCAAACAATTGCCTTTTCCAAAGGAGATTGATTTAAATTGGTTTTTTTTTTGGTGAATGCCTGACTACCAGCCAAATCGTGTCAGGAGTGACAGTTGACATGCTAGAGCCTATTGTGGTACCAACATTTCCCCTTGCCCCTTTGTTTTGCACAGTGGCAGTTAAATATTACCTACTAGGGAAAAAAAGTGATTACTACTTAAAAAAAAAGGCATTGTAGCATAAAAGATGAGTTGTTTCCTTGGCTTTGTGCTGTGATGTAGGCAGCAATGGTACCAGGATTGGTTAGGTTTGCCCCTGGGACCTGATTTTTCTTTCTTTCTTTCTTCCTTTCTTTTTTTTTTTCCCTTTTCCGTAGTCCATCTGCAAATAATCAAACCTTCACTGTGGCACATTCTCAGAACTCCTTTGGCATTATGTTTAGTCTGCTCCATGATCTCAGATGCTCCTTAATATCATTTTCTTAATGAAATAAAATCCTTGGCAGAGATCAGATCATTTAGTCAGTTAAAATCAATTGCATCCAGTCTGAAACAGAGAGCAAATGTATCATTTTGCCCTATGTTTTATTTCAAAGATAGCCAGAGGACTGAGCAAATAAAATATCAAAATAACTTTGTCAACTCGGGGGCAAAACTTTGTCGCATGAAGACCATCATAGATTGCCACTGGACTCTTTTCCCTTTATTTCATAAAAGTGCATTTGATGGTCATTAATAGGGCCCAGCTGAAATAATTCTATTAATAAGGTGCAAACAGTGCTGAGAATGCATGTTTGTATAAGGACACACATGCCAATATTTTGGCAGGCTGATTGGCAACTCATGTTTTGTCTCCGTGGTAAGTGGTCACGTTTGTCAGCCCCTTCATGCCTTTTCATTCAGTATGGAGTCCCTACTAGCTGCTGTTAACCATTGCTCTCTGAATTTGTCTTGGGTACTTATGACTTATTTCTATTCTTAAATGGGGCTCTTTAGTTTTATTTGTTTACTTTATGGGGTGATTGTAAGCCACATTTACAGCTGGGTTACTGAAAATGTAACATATAACTTTATTATGGCCTCTCAGAATTTCTCGAATTGGGAATGTGGTGACAGAGTTCTACCATTTCCACTCTGTGGATCCTAGTGGTTATAGCACAGTTGGGAATGCACACAGAGAAGAGACTTCCCGAAGCTCTTGAAAGCAGCCAGGCTTAGGGACCTTTACTTGTGTTGTGGTGGGCATGGCGCGCCAAGTGCTGTTGCTTGTAGCCTTTTCTCTCAGCAGCTTCCAGTTCCTCTATCCATAACATCTTGTATTCACAAAATTACGTTTGGCTTCTTCTACAAAGACGAAGTGTGTATCACAAACAGTGTGGTGTGTTTCTGGCAGCTGAGGTTGGAGAAAAAGATAAACAGTTTCCCTTTGACTGTATAAAGCCAAATTAATTTGTTTGTCATTTATAATTTAATGAAGAGATTTGGAGGTATTTGTTTTTCATAAGTACTTTTTAATAATGGCTTACTTCTTCCAATATCCTTTCAAAATACAAACTAGCACATGGAACATATTAACCTACACTTAAAAGCTTCAAAATGCATTTCGTATGCATGCTGACTTTTGAAAGTTCCCAAGTAGTTCAGAAAAGTTGATGTGATGTTTAACTTTCAACATAAACATGCTCCTTCCTTTCTTCACTCGTATTTTTCCCACTGGCGGCCTTTGCTTCCAGCAATATTGCATCAGTTTTTCTGGCCAGAGTTTTAACCAGTACAAGGAGGTCAGAAGATTGCTGCGCTCACACTGACATCTTATTTGCCACTGACATTTGGAAGGGATTCAGAATAGGTGATGTCCTCCCAGCCTTCCATTTAATTCTGGCTTACTTTATGTGCTCTTAAAACCAAACCTGAGCAGAATCCAATATTTGCAGCAATCACAAGTTGGAAATAACACTTCTAATTCTTTAATGCAAAACTGCCTCTTGATTTGTTCAGGGACTGGCCAGTTCATAGATTATCCAGGCTACTTATCCTTTCATTTCTTTGATTTCATCTGACTGCCTTTAAAAGCTCCCTCTCAACCTTTCTGGATATAGTCACCCTTATCATCTGAGTCCAGGAACTAGACAGACAAATCTTTCACTGTAATGCTTGATCAACACTCTGCTTTGGGATGATAATAAAGTTTAAATTTTTGGTAATAAATTTTTAAAGTTTTGATAATAAAGTTTAAATTTTTGGTCCTTTTCAAGATGTCGTTAGGGTCATTTATCCCCCCCCCCATGACTAATAACAAATTAAGGATTAATCACTAGAGGAAGACAGTATTATATTTTCAGCTACAGCAAATGTACAAGATGCTTATTATGATACTAAAATGTATAGATGATACATGTATATATGTATTATAATGAAGGTGTGTATGTACATATATTTTCATATGTGTGAAGAGGGCAAAATAGAAAAGTTTGGTAATGGAGATTTCACTTTTCAGAATTAAAATGGTTTATTTTAACCTATTTT